GCGATCGAAAAAAGAGCTTTTTCTTCGAAGAAGTTTTTCTTGGGTGAGAATACTAGAGAGCTCATGGAGGCTTGTTTGTCGACTGGAGCCGATTAAAGAAAAGTACAAAACGATTTTTTCTGCCCTCATTATTAATTTGTTTAAGATGGTTTTCTAATATAATTGGGAAAAAAAAATAATGAGCAACCTCAATTACTTACATCAAAATATCAATTATTACCTAATAACTTGAGCACTTGCCCTGAGTTTTGTTGGCTGGTCACTGAGTGTTGAAATTGAAAATATTTTACGCTTACATGGGATAAGGAAATAAATGTAGGGGTCTTGTTCTATTCTTGTGTACCTTTGCAATCTTGTTCAGAGCGCGGCGCGACAATTATGGCAAATGAACTAATAATTTAAAACGAAGATTTATCATTTTTGGTGTATAATCCTATAGAAAAGCAAGGTAATCCCAATTTCAAGAATCATAGCTGTATTTCCAAACATCCCCATGAGTCAAATCCAAAGCGCAAAGAAAAGACGCGATAACTAGAAAAATACATCTTTCAGGACCTTTGCTAGAGCCTGAAGAAAACAAATTAACAAGTAATTAGTAATAACGCTATAATTTTTATGGCGCCAGCATACCTACAAGACGCCTATCCTTAACTTGGATGAACATGGCCTTCCTTCCAAAACTGCCTCTGAGCTAGAAGCTCAGAAAATGAGAGAAAAGCTAGAACTCTTAGAAAGGTCTGTTACCGCCCTCAAGACACACAAAGAGTGGTGGACATGGACTCCTTGTCTCTGTTCCCCGAAGCAAGACTGCCAACCAAATTCAAAATGCCCAACATGGACAAATTCGATGGAACTACTTGACCAAAAACTCACTTGAAAATGTATGTGGGTGCCCTTAACCCATTTGGATTGAACAGCGAGCTCCTTGCTCAGTTGTTCCAACAGTCACTCACCGGCGCTGCTCTGAGATGGTTTGTCAGTTTGGACCGATCTAAAATGAAAACTTGGAAGAATTGGGAGGACATATGCAATGCTTTCAACACGCAGTACCATTATAATATTGAAGTGGGTGTTACCCGGAGGGAGCTGGAAACCACTAAACAAAAAAAAAAACAATGAGCCCTTTTCCTCATTCCTTTCGAGGTGGAGAGCCAAAGCTGCTCAAATGATCAACCGACCCTCGAAACAGGAACAAGTTGACATAATAAGCAAGAATTTACTTCATGTCTACCAGTCACAGCTTCAAACACAGTACTTGCCTACGTTCCAATCGCTCATTGCAACTGCAGCTAAGGTGGAAGACTTAATCCAGTTGGGTCAAAATGGGACAACTGAAAGAAGAATTCGGAGCCTCGAGCCTAACAAAAAACCTAGCTCAGCCCGGGAAAAGTCCACGAAGTGGCAGCATCACCCCCACGAATCCTTTAACGTGTGGGATAACATGGGAAACATGAAGAAACGGCAGTCAACTCAGAACGCAACAATATACTGATCCTCGCATGCCAATCCTTTTGGTATTCCGAGAAGCTGTCAAAGCCAAACTACTCAAAACCCTTTGAGGCAAGACACCACCCAAAGCCGTCCTTTACCATGAGTGGAATTTCCAAAGCCAAATGATATACTGTGAGTACCACCAAGGCACATGGGCAATAAGACTGAAGCGTGTTGGACGCTTAAACAATCGCATCCAAGAACTTGGTAGATCAACGTGTTCAATTTATTTCGAGAAACAAACCAAAACCTTAGCTACTAAATCCCTTGCCAAATCACGGGGTTAAATGCTATTGTTCCTGACCAGGAATTGATCGATCCTTTCGACTTATTCCTTGAAAAGAACGAAATTTGTGGGTCCTAGATCTAATGACCTAACCGAGGAACTCGATGCATAAACCAGAAGCGGAAGAACAGTATGGAAACACTGGTCTTGGACAAGTCCAAAATAGCCCTATCAGAGGAAGGACGAGCTAAAAGAAGACCCAGTAACTTTTTCGAGCTACAAGAAGAACACAAGCTAAGGGTATGATTTGGGAGCTTCTAGCATCGATCCTTTCCTCATCGCCAAGCTCTTGCAGGCTTTGAGTAACTTCAAGCATCAGTTGGAGATTTAGCCCCGAAGTGCTTAGTATCTAACCTCACCAAATCTTCAAAAAACTCAAAACATCGGTTTTCGGATGATTCGAACTTACCCCCAGAGGAGCATAGTCACAATGATGCCCTCTTATCACGATCAGACAGAGAACAAACTGTGCCCATGGTTCTCATTGCTAATGGGTCAGCAATTAAACGTCTGTCATCGTCTGTCCATTGAGGGTAGCCAGCTGTCTGGGCTTGGAGGAAACAGATTTCATGCCATCTGACCAGATAGTGAAAGCATATGACAGCACCCGAAGGGAGGTATTGGGGGTTGCTACACTAAAATTGGCAATCGGGCCAGCCATAATGGAGGTACCATTTCAGGTGATTGACGTGCCCACCAGTTTCAACCTGCTTTTGGGACGACCATGGATACACCGTACCAAAGCAGTACCCTCCTCTTTACACCAAAAGGTCAAATTCCCTTATGAGGGTAAAATCATAACGGTTCAAGGAGATGATTACAGCCAGCTTAAAAAGCCAAAGGGCCAGCCTCCCTCTTTGAAGTCAACGCCTGGAAAGCGCCTATTTCCCCCCTCTAGGATTTCAATTTATGACACGGCAGTTCATAGAAGGAAAGACTACGAACTCCCGAATTCTCTTTGATTTCGGAACGGTGCAAATAAACTGCATAGTTCCTTTAATGCTAAAGATGTCCTATTTGCCGGGAATGAATATGGCAAGGTCCGGTAAGATGTACCCCACATTACAAGCTTGGGAGAGTCCAGTGAATGAAGGGACTTTTGGTTTGGGTTATGAGCCTACTGAAGAAGACCGTTCTGAGAAGACTAGAAGAGGAAAGAAGAAAAGCATACAGATGCCGTTACACTTTTCAACATTGAATAGTCACTTCCACAAATCCGGAGAGACAGTCCCTTATCATGGTTTCCAAGAACCATTTTATTGCCCGACCGTCAAGAAAATGCTACCTGGGTTAGAAATATTTTCTGATGTCTGGGGTAACAAGTCCCCTGGGGTTAGAAATATTTTCCTGGGGTAACAAGCCTGAAGCAATAGCTGAGCTGGAAGTGGAAGACTTCATGCTGCCAAGTCTCTTTGACGAGGTTGCAGTCATTACAAGAAATGAAAAAAATCAAGACCTGCTGAGCCTAATCAAACCGAATGAAGGGCCTCTCACCAACTGGTACGCTGAGGAAGAGCGCGCTGTTGACAACCCCCCTCCCGAGTCAAACCTAGAGTCGAAATCTGTAGTTAAGTCCTGTACTGAGTCTGAGTCTGACCCCGAATCTAAAACCGAGTCAGAGTCCAGTCCCAGTTCTGGGTCGTGTGTGTCGGATTTTGAAAATCCAGATTTCAAATTTGATGTAATCTTTGAAGACGATTCTGTCATGATCAATAAAGGTTTGCAAGTTATGTTTGCAAGTTATTGATTACCCCACCTGTCTATCTTTCCAAGCATTTCCAAGCAAAAAAATCAAATAAATGAAATAAAAAATGAAAAAGAAAAAATAATAATTGGCAAAGAAGAAAATAAACATACATACATTGCATTTGACTGTGTGAATAGGGAACAAGTCATTGGATGCTTGAAAAAGTTTGCTGATTGCTTCATGTGGAAGGCAAGTGACATCATGGGAATTGACCTGGTAATAGCGGTGCATAAGATTCCAGTATACCCTAAGGCTAAACCGGTAAAACAGAAGCTAAGAAGGCTGAAGACCGAATGGTCCTTGAAAATCAAGGAGGAAGTGGCCAAGCAGCTGGAAAATCAATTCATAGAACCCATTGCCTACCCGACATGATTAGCAAACATCGTGCCAGTGCCGAAGAAAGATGGCAAAGTCAGAATGTGTGTGGATTACAGGGATTTGAATAAAGCATGTCCAAAGGACGACTTCCCCCTACCACATATTGATTTGTTGGTGGACCAAATGGCAGGACACGAGATGGTCTCCTTGACCGATCTTGCTTTGGATACAACCAAATAATGATGCATTTGCCAGACAAAGAGAAGACGGCATTCATCACGGAATGGGGAATCTACTGCTACAGGGTCATGCCTTTTGGGCTCAAAAATGCTTGGACTCAAAAATGCGGGGCAACCTATCAGAAGAATGGCACGACCAATCTTCCATGACATGATTCGTAGAAGTGTATGTCGACGATATGGTCATTAAGTCAAAAATAGCTGACGAAAAACAGCTGGCGAACATACAACAGCACTTGAGAAGTTCTTCCTTAGACTTCGAAAGTACAATTTAAAGCTCAACCCAGCAAAGTGTCTATTTGGAGCTACATCCCGGAGTATTTCTGGGGCACATGGTCAGTCAGAAGGGCATAGAGATTGACCCTTCGAAAGCCAAGGCCATTCTAGAAATGCCAGCACCGAGGACAGAAAAAGAAGTTCGGGGTTTCCTGGGAAGGCTACAGTACGTCAGCCGATTCATCAATCAATTGGCCGATACTTATGGACCGATCTTCAAGTTACTCAGGAAAGGAATAGCAGTCAAATGGAATGAAGATTGTCAGAAAGCTTTTGACCAAATCAAGCAGTACCTGATATCCCCGCCAGTGTTACAGCCACCAAGGCTGGGAAAGCCTTTGTTATTATACCTATCGGTGACAGAAGAAGCGATGGGTGCGATGCTAGGCGATGGGTGCGATGCTAGCTCAACAAGCAGAAGATACAAGGGTAGAAAATGCCGTGTATTACCTCAGCAAAAGGATGCTAGACTACGAGTTGAAATATAATAAGATAGAGAAGCTGTGTCTGGCTCTAGTATGGGCCTGTACAAAGCTACAGCACTACCTCACTACCTCTCATCTTACACCACAAGCGTTGTTTCTGAATCGAACCCCTTGAAATTCCTTATGGAGAGGCCGGTTCTTGACTGTAAGATGGCTAAATGGGTGACAGTACTCGCGGCTTAGCAGCCTATGACTTAAAATTTGTACAACGGAAGGCAGTAAAAAGAGGAGCCTTGGCTGACCAATTAGCGGAACTGCCCGTGGAAGACGAAATGAAAGAATTGGAGTTTCCCGATGAAGATCTCTTGAACGTGGAAAATGATGTTTGGGAGATGTATTTTGATGGAGCTTCGAATTATGACGGAAATGGAATTGGAGTCATGTTCAAAACTCCTTGTGGCGAATACGTCCCAACCGCAATCAACTTAGATTTCGACTGCACCAACAATGAAGCCGAGTATGAAGCTTGCATTAGGGTTAAAAGCGGCCTTGGAAAAAGAGATAAAAGTCCTTAGGGTTTTTGGGGATTCCAATTTGATAGTCTCTGATAGTTTCTCAAGCCTTGAGAAAATGGAAAATTAAAGAAGAGCGTTTGGTTCCTTACCTACAACGTTTGGACGAATTGGCCCAACAATTTGAAGATTTATCCTTCCACTACTTACCGCGAGCCAAGAATCAGTTCGCTGATGCTCTGGCCACTTTGGCCTCCATGGTCAACGTGGGAGGAGACCGAGTCATTCGACCTCTCACAGTTCGGCTACAGAAACAGCCAGCACATTTCATGAATTTGGTGGATGACAAGCCCTGGTACTGGGATATACAGAATTATCTTCAGAATGAAGTTTATCCGGAGGGATCTACCAAGACTGATCAACGAACACTGAGACAGTTAGCATCCGGATATTTCTTTACTGGGGGAGTTCTGTATAAGAGAAGTTCGAATGGCTTACACCTAAGGTGCGTGGATGAGGGAGAAGCTCAAACCATCATGTTGATGAGGGAGAAGCTCAAGCCATCATGGATTCCTTACATAATGGGGAGTCCGGTCCACACATGCACGGGATAGCTCTGTCTCGAAAAATTATGAACCTGGGTTATGGGTTATTACTGGTCAACCATGAATGCAGATTGCGTGAGGCACGCGTAGAAGTGCCACGAATGTCAAATTTTTGCTAAACTACAAAGACAGCCTCCAGTCAATTTGAATCCTATTGCTTCACCATGGCCTTTCACAACTTGGGGCATAGACGTGATTGGAAAAATTCACCCGAAGGCTTCTAATGGTCATCAATTTATCCTGGTTGCTATTGATTATTTCACTAAGTGGATCGAGGCAACCTCTTATTCAGTTTTAAATGCCAAGAAGGCAGCACAGTTTATTCGTACTAACATCCTTTGTTGGTACGGAACGCCATTCGAGATCATCACATCACAGATAATGGGTCTCACTTTCAGAGCGAATTTTCTAATTTGTTGAAAGAAATGAGAATTCAACATCATAAGTCCTCGCCCTATCGCCCACAAAAAAATGGAGCTGTAGAAGCTGCAAATAAGGCTATAAAAGTCATTCTGCAGAAAACGGCTAAAAAGCACAAAGCTTGGCACGAACAGTTACCGAATGCCTTATGGGGATATAGGACTTTGATTAGAACACCCACCGGAGCAACTCCGTATTCGTTGGTATACGGTATGGAAGCGATATTGCCTATTGAGCTGGAAACTCAGTCGGCAAGGGTTATCCCAAGAAAGTCAGATCAGTGAGGCAGATTGGGCGAAGAATTATCATTTGCAACTTTTGGGTATGGATGAAAAGCGGTTGCAAGCAATCCACCAAACTCAAGTCTACCAGAGATGAATGGCACGGCATTTTAACAAGAAGGTCAAAGACCGAAAACTCGAAGAAGGTTGTTTGGTTCTGAAGGAAATTAGACAGCCAATTCAAGATCTACGTGGGAAGTTTCGTCTTCATTGGGCTGGCCCCTATGTGTTGAAGAAAGTATTGTCCGGCGGAGCCGTCATCTTGACTGATTTGGA